ATACGTTATATACACACACATATATATATATATGTTAATGCAGCATTCAAAGAAAGATGTGCGCGGGTGCACGACATCGACGACGCTGTCGAAGTTCGCAGCAACGGTGGCAGGTGGCGCACACGATCCCATCACTAGCACTAACGCTTCGCTGAGCCGCCACTGCACGGAAATTTCGCGCTTGACGACGCTAATACTGCTGACGACGGCCGAGTTTTCGATACCCTTTTTCATGCAGCTTCCTGCGTGATCGTCCAAAGCGTCCTTGTTGGCGACCAGGCGCTGCCTCAATGGAAAAAAATCCAACTGCCAATTACTTCGGTTGGCGTTGTCAGCGTGGATGTTGGTGCTGGTTGTTCTATTTGTTATTGTTACATAGTTAGTTTGCTCGTAGGTCCTACGCAGGGTAGCTCGAGCAGGACAAGGACGATATCTGTACGTATGTGTCGAAGTGTTCGTGCAGGCAAAAGCAAGTGAATGAGCGTGAATCTGAAGGGAGAACGCATGCGGATAGAGAGGAACAGCTGTCGTTTCAGTCGTTTGATGAGCAACTGAATAGACACCACTATGCTGTTATTGTTAAAGGTCACACGAAAAACACACAGCGTTGTAAATATGTATGTTTGTACATTTGTTTATAGGGAGGATATTTCGTTGACAAGGTGGAACTGGGTTCTGACCGAGCCTCGAAGATCGCCAGAAATCGATTTGGTTAAATAGGCATTTTGGAAAAGGGACGCTTGTTGAGGGCGTACGAACAGCACGATGTTACACATGTGACGACAATTGCGGTACGAGCGCTTGCGGTAGCCGCGATAAGAAGCGTTTATCATGTAGCCTCCCTTTTATTCTACTGTTTGTTATTGCAGATCGACCAAGTGCTCTTTATCTGGATTATCGAAAGCCAACGATAAACTAGCGCTGATAACGCTAGTAACACTAATCATCGAATATCAGTTAAATAAAATGATGACAAAGTCGTCATTTTATGAGCGTGTCATGTGGTTTAAACGTAATACGTTAGGTTGATGCTCCCTACAACTTTTAGCGAAATTCTCAATGAAAGAGTCCTCTACGAATCGAACAATCCAGCTTATCAATGCTTTAGTTGGTAATTTCGAAGAGTCAGTAATTAAGAATACATGGTAAGAAGCAGACCAAGGCCATATATAAGTCTTATCCCGATCTAGCCTATCGTTAACAGACTATGAGCGACTCCTGTATGTTCAAGATACCTACTCTGTAATCAACTAAACATATAGCAATATATATATATATATATATATATATATATATATATATGAATAATAATCAGAAGAGTTTGCGACGTCAAAATGGCGCAAAGACTGTGACAATTTGCCTTTAGTTAACCACCTACAACAATGCACAGGCCAAACAAGTACATTTTTCCCCGAATCGTGAATTTTGACGATTCTACGATGGTATTATAACCTATAGTGCAATGATTGCCGTTGTATAGGCGATTCTGTGGTGTTACAAACACTCTTTTTATGAAGACGCGATGAATCATAGAGCAGCCTCAATGGAAGCCACTCAAACTGATGGCAAAATCGCGCTTGGTGCCGCCGCAATAAAAGACGAAACCGGAGAGTCTCCCGTGCCGTCAACGAAGACAGAGCGCTTTTGTTCGGGTTGACGAAGATCCTTCGCGTTTTTCGGACTTGTTTGGTGTTCCTCAGTGAGCGTGTGCGTGCGTTTTTGCCGTGCAAGTAAGCGGTACGGCGAAGCGTCAGCTTGTCTGTCCGCGCAGGGTTGTCCGCCGTTTCGGTCGTGACATATCATTCCTTTTGAATCCTAACCATTTGCCAAAGTAAAGATAAAAGGAGATGGAAGAGACGTCTCATACAGAGCAGCAGCGGCAGAAGCCGTCGCGCAGAAAATCTGTACGCATCAGCGGCATGGGTCTCTCATTGCCTAGAATCTTTTCCGTTATCCTACTGGTGAGTAAGATGAACGTGTGGTGCTGTTATTATTAGTTAGCTGCCGGGGTTGGATTATACAGTAAAGGTTCACAGAATTTAACTCTTCGACAAGACTGTTCTTCGTTATGTTTCCTTTTTTCATAGGTTGATCGTATACAATTTCACCGAAACGCTTTCGTTGTCTTCACAACCCTCAGCCTGTTTTGGCGCTACGTCGTTGCTGGGTTCGTGAGAGATTTTTGGTAGCGCAATTCTTCAATAACAACAGCAACTGCTTCAGGTTATAGCTAGGACGGCCTTCGCCGGCTTCAGTATTATCCGCATTAGGACGCCGGTGTCTATCAAGCAATCAACATCACTTCATCTTCAAATTTCATTTTCATCATTTTTACTGGTTTTGTTCTTTACTAAAAAAGATGACACGATCAAAAGCCGCCTGGACAAGAGCGGCCGCCAATCCTAACCTTAATTCATGGTGTAACAACAATTTTTTCAACAATGATTACCTCTATTACTATTATAAAGGCTTATAGTACAAATGTGATAGCCTACTGGCTATATGTCCAGCGGGAACCAGTGTAAAGTATTTTACTTAACGTCGCTATACTCGCGTAATATTACGCATCTAAGCATCTACGTCCCTTAGGGTTTCTTTTCACAATGTGACAGATAGTTTGATCTGACATTTGTAATGATTAAAATAAGAAGCCGTTGGATTAAAGAATCTGATTATCACCTTATGGATTGCTCCCTATAAAAACAGGGACAAGAGGAGTATATGTACTGTCCTTTGTAGAGCACAGCGACAATAAAGTCAGTGAGCCTTCTCATGGCGACCGTACCACATACATTTTGAGTGGACCCCTAACCGTCCTCATTTAAGCAGCTGACCAACGTTGCTGCCCAAGCGACAAAATGATGAAGTAAATTACGCGCTATAAATCGCGATAAAATCAAGATGGCACTCAAATTTCTAGCGGCGTTCGTCCGTCCGTCTTCAAGCGTGAGTAAACGAAAGAGCAAATTCATTACTCATAGACGAGCAAACAAACGTCATATCGTCCAGGAAGTAGGTAAAGCTGAAAGCAGGGGAAAACCTAACACGAAATAGTGGCTCTGGGACATGTTGTAGGCAGGCACACCTGTTTGAAAACGCGGCAGTAGGAGACAGAGACTGCGCCCAAACAGACTAGACGAGCGTCCGGGAGTACCATCAACTGGAGATGTAACCTCTAAATAGCGTGGAACATATCTAGTATTTCGACACGAAATGTAAGGCCAAGACTCGTGCATTGGTTGTAAGCCTACAGGCACATACACAGATTGAAGTATGCCAGCCCCCACGGCACTCATCAACATGTCAATCTCCGTAGTATTTCGTATTTTGATCGTCAGTTACCAGTTTGTGACAATTGTACGACAACTACCTGACCACGTTAATTTTTGTTTCATAATCCTATAGAATCGCTCGTGTCTATGTACATCCATATCGTTGTATGTCGCATGTAGTTGAAGCAAGATCCACGGAAACCGATGCAAAGCGGCGACAAAGACGCTCAAGTTCAATTTCGGCTACATTTAAATGTATTCGCTGGATTTCATTGGGCCTCAGAGCCCAGAACAACAGAAGGGAATGTTCTACTTTTTGGGTTATGTACAAGAATACAGCCAGACATCGTAGACAAATAAACTACGATCATTGTAGGAGTCACGTAAAAAAAGGATAAGTAATTATTATCTCGTCCCTGCATTCTGGTCAGTCTACTTATCCGATTGTACCCCCTAGTATTTCTCGTCGTTTATTATATTTTAAAAGCAATTAAAGCTTACCAAGTACATAGTGTGGTGCGAAACGCGACAGAGAAGAGTATCAGTGAAAAAAGCTTCAAATAAAGCACCATAATACAGGTCTTGAAAGTATCTACAGTGTCAACGACTCTCTCTTTCGTTTTTATAAGCGTACGGTTATTTTACATACTAATTTAATATTTTTCCATCACCATTTTTTCCAACTTCATTGAGACGCTACTGATGTGAGGGTTTATTGACCGTTATGACGTTGAATATATTCGGAGAGATAATATACACAACAGTCCAATACTTCACAACGTTCTCTCCTGACGGTACCCAACGCGACGGTATAGAGCACGTTTCCTAGAAATTGATCTGAACGTTTCACGCGGCCGATCATTACTAGCTTAAATTCTACCCGTACTCTATCGACAATTATCCATCTTTATTTTTAGTACCGATAGAATCAAGTAGTTTCGCCTTGTAACGTGGTTTAGAGTCCTTATATTTCTTTTTTGCAATTCATTTCTTTCTTTGTGGTTCTTCCGTCAAGTGGTCCTAGTGAATGTCACATATAATTTCCGACCGATCGTGCCTCTGTGCTATACTATGCGCCGCCTCGCACGCTACGACCCACTGAGGGAAGGCTGGAATCAGGCCGAATGGTAACGTCTCTTGCCGGTAGCGCTAGGTTTGTTCCATAGATAGTTCGGTCTGATTTGTCGGTCCATCTGACTGTAAAACTATAAATTGCGACAATTCTTCT